GCAAGCGATAAGACGCGAAAACTACGCAAACAACTCACCATTGTTATGCTACTTCAGGTTTGTGGTACTTTCAAAAATTTTTTTTGGGGGGGGGGGTTCGCACGCGAGCACACACGCTCGCGTATGACAACCTAGGCCACGCCTACTACATATGGCCTCAGGCTAAGTGTGGTGACCTCAGCCTCCTATCTAAGCCTAAACCTCAGATCACAACAGGGCTAGCCGGCGAGTTCAAGCTCAGGCTTAGGCTTAGGCTGATGAGACTACGCTTAGTAGGCTGAGGCCATGCGCAGTAGGCCAAGTGGCCTCGGTGCATGTGCGAGCGTGCGCTCATAGCGTGCGAGCGTATCATTGTAGGCGAGCGTGCTCGCGTGCGATCCCCCCTCAAAGTAAAAAAAGTGCTGCTAAAGCAGAAGCAGAAGGCTGAAGACAGGCCGAAGCTGGTTGGTTGGGCATGCTGCAATGTCTGCAGAAGAAAACTCTACCCGGGAAAGTTCTCAAAATTCTCAAAAATTTTTCTAAAAATGGAAAATTTTCCCGGAAAATGGGAAATCTCCCGATGCGTTTTCCAAAAATTCAACAATTCAATTGAATTTCAGGGTCTTCTACCACTCTTCCTGATCGTCGTACCGCTCGTATGCGTCTACGCGCTAACGTTAACGCCGTTCCAAGCGGGTGCGTGGGCGTCACTGGCGCCCGTCAGCTTCAACTGGGAGCCGTGCGCCCACCCCTTCATCACCATCTACTTCGTCAGCCCGTTCCGCAGACGATTCCGACAGTGCTTCCGGCTGGATGCATGCCGCCCACGGCACATCACCGGCCGCAATGAGGCTGCTGCTGCTGCTGCAACACACCATCAGCAGCCGCGGCATACGGTGCATATTCAACTTCCCACCGCCGCCGCGGGCAATTCCCACTACCCGACCATCGCCTATCAAGAGCACCGTCAACTGCCCGGGCACTACCCTATCGAGCCATTGACCACCGCACCGCCAATCAAACGTCAAATAAGTTGCACACAATTCGTAAACGTTGCACCATCAGGGCTGAAAACACGTTCCGTCGATGCGTCGGCATCCAACGCTATACAGCCGTCGTTGCGCAACGCCGCTTTAACCAATACTACTATGTGGTGTTGACAGCACAAAAATTACCGCAAACAACAGCGCCATACCAACCCAAACCGACCAACCGCAGTGCATCCGGCTTCCAATGTCGTACCACAAAATGTCGTACCCTTCCCGGTGNCCGAGTACAATTACTGGCGATAATTACTTACTAATTACTGGCAATAATTACTTACTAATTACTGGCGAACTCGAGACGAATTTAGATCCATTCGCATAAAATTTTGGTGGCGCATAAAATTCTTTCTTTTTTTGCAACGTTCCAGTGCAAATCAACACAAAAAAGTCCATTTAAACGGAAGCATACACCAATGAAAACGCAAAAAACAAACAAACGAATATATTGCCAAGCATTCACAAACGCACTCAACTCACGAGCCTCCACTGGGGATGTGACCGCTCGGTCAATCTGCCTGTCTAAAGACATTTTGCCTAAGGACAGCTTGCCAACGGACAAGTTGCCCAAGGAATAATCTGCCTATTAGGCGAAATATTCATTAAAAAACCGTAAGTTAGGCAAATTGTCCGTCAGACAAATTCTGTCAAGCAAACTGTCCGTTAGACAAATTGTCTGTCAAGCAAACTGTCCGTTGGACAAATTGTCTGTCAAGCAAACTGTCCGTCAGACAAATTGTCTGTCAAGCATTAAGCAATCTGTCCGCTATGCAAACCGTCCGTTAGACAAACTGTCCGTTAGACAAAATGTCTTTAGGCGGATTGACCGCGCACCCCACTGTGCCCAACGGTCTTCACCCTGGCGGTGCTGACTCGAAAAATTAAAAATCTGAAAATTTATCAGTCTAACGAACCGAACCGAACACATCAATCAGCCAATTCTTTATACAGCAACGCATTTCCACATCATAAACACAACGCAATGAATCAATTTAAAAACAATATCAATCAAAAAATTAGAGATCAATCCCTTTGCGTAAAATTCAATGTAAAACAACACAAAATAATTCCTCAATACACACCACAATCGCTGATGATACGATGAATATGATAACTTATAAAAATTTAGAAAGGGTATATCCTACAAGATATAAAGTTTCAGCAAACGAATAGGGCCGAGGCAGCCGGCAGACTCGACAACGAATAATTCTAGGACGTTCTCTAGACTGCCTGAGTAGGTTATGCCATCTCGTAGGTCTTAATTTATCGACGACAGAAATATTTTGCAGTGAGGCCAAATTCAGATCCTCACCAACCAAATACACTATCAAACACACGCAAAATACATCCGACTGTACAAATTTCATTACATGATCCATTTAACAATAAACGACAATAAAAATCATTTAAAAACTGATCTTGATGAGTGATCTTTACTTGATCTTTAGTGATCAGTGATCTTTAAAATGAAAGTGATCTTGATCAGTCGCGTTTTCGGCGTCCACCTTCAAGCGCGTCGTTGTTTTTTCGGTGCCCCGACCTCGTCCCCAATATTCTCCTTGGCGCCCTGAGCGCCCAGATCGCCCCTCATCTGAACCGGCTGCTCGATAACCCACTGATCACGATTCTCGGTACGCATCACCGTAGAAGTGCCGTCAACGAATCGTGTTTTAAACAGTACATTCGCGTGATTGAACATTCCGTCCTTCAACGATACAATTACAAACTGAAAAATGAATTATTACTATTACTATTATTACTTATTATTATTACTATTATTATCTATTACTTATAACTATTATTACTATTACTATTATTACTCATTATTATTACCATTAATATCATACTATCACTTATTACTATCATTACTATTACGATTATCACATATTATTATTATTATTATCATACTATCACTTATAACTATTATTACTATTACTATTATTACTCATTATTATTACTATTAATATCATACTATCAATTATTACTATTATTACTATTACTATTATTACATATTATTATTACTATTATTATCATACTATCACTTATTACTATTATTACTTATTATTATTACTATTATTATCATACTATTACTTAATCCTATTATTACTATTGTGAATTATTTTATTATTATCATAAATAATAGTAATTACAAATATAACGGTATTATATTATAATTACAAATATTACTATAAACATAATAATAATAACAAATAAAATACAATAATATTGAAAATAGTACTAAACGACAACAGATAATAATAATGATCTAGGTGGGGGTGACCTGCCACAA